GTGTGTGTGTGTGTGTGTGTGTGTGTGTGTGTGTGTGTGTGTGTGTGAGTGAGTGATTGAGTGTGTGTGTGTATGCTCTGCTTAAGTTTCATTGCCGTTAAATGGAGTGTGTTTCTTCAAAGAACTAATAAATGGACTGTAGTTCAGACAGAAGATATCAACGTCCCTGAATCTGTCCTCGTAAGTGCGTACAATTCTATGCAAAACAAAGTACTTTGCACAGTTTGAACTGACAGAGCCAGAATGCAAAGAGCGCATATTTGCCGTCCACTAACCAAAACGCAGCTAAGTGACATGGTCAAATATCTGTTTTAAATAGCAAAAGAAAGAACACAAAATTCTTTTTTAAAAACAGTTAAAATTAGTTAACGTCTTCGACTTATCGGAATTTACTTAAAAAGATGGTAAAGGGCTAGGCCATAACTGTAGGTTATAGGATAGTTTCAAGGTAAATGGGAACCACTGCTGAAGTACGCCCTTTCTAACAAAAAAAGATTCATCGAAATCGGTTCACAAATGTCAGAGTCATCATACAACATACACCCAAAAAATTACAGACGATTGAGAACCTCCTCCTATTTTAGAAATCGGTTAAAATACTATACCACCTACAACATTCATGCCACACAATTATAAAATATGCTTTCATAATTCAGCTCACATTCTATTCTTTGATTAACTAATGAATCAAATTGCGTATATATTTGAAATTTTATAACAATGCTACTTAAGCATAAATAAAGTCCGACTAATTTCGATTTGCAGATGTGGCCTTATTTCACCAAGGGTGCGCTTAATATGGTTAAACCTATGATGACTATTTTTGTTGCATTCATAGACAATAATGAAAATCGTGTCCGATATGTACAGGCTAACCACCAAAGAGTTGGTTTCCGACGCCATGAGACGTCTCATTTCCTGAAAAACTAAAAAAGTGTTTTCTAGTTTCAGCACGTGGTGGCGGCACTGGCGACGTTAGGAGCGGGTCTGGGCGCAGGCTTGATGCAGCCCGCCATGTCGCCGGCTTGGCTCGTCCAGCAGCTGGTACAGGCAAGACAAAATGCCGACAGGTCAGTCTAAGCTCTTTGAATCATTATCTCACAATGAACTATGATTTTTGAAGATTTTTGAGGATTGATTAAATTTCGCTTCCCCACGAATGATTTTCTTCAAAGAACTCTTTGAGAAATGAAACTATTTTTCGGATCTAAATCTAGTAGGTATATATTTTTTTCTAACCGACGTTCCAAAATTCATATTGCTAAAATACAACGTTACGCAAAAGCATTTGTAGCGTAAATTGAAATGTTTTTGGTAATTTAAAAATAAGGTATTTAAATTAATAATGAAATAGAATACATTAATAACATTAGACATAACTGATTGATGACTTTACCATCTTTGTCAGGCGTGACCATGGGACCTGTAAAGGGTTCGAAACGTTGGTTTGTTTGTTTTGTCTAAAAAACTAGCGAATCTCGATATAACACATTTTAGTTTATTTTATCATATGTCATAAAAAAGGACAAAAATATCACTTTCAATAAGTCGTGCACCTCAGAAGTATGAAGTCAGAGAATGAGAGTCAGAGACATCAAAAATATCAGAGGGGCGCTGACATCGCCCGTCATTCTGAAACATAAGTTGACGAGTTCCATGTGTCTCCTAACCTAACCTAACCTTTCGAAGTCAGAACGCAGTAATGCTCACATTTCATTAGGTACCGTGACAATACTTCCCTGACCAGACTCTTTCACAGGGAGTTCTAATGCTACAACATTTACTGAACCCCAGCTTCGAAACAAAGTCATCTACGGTATTTATAATACAGACAAACGGGCTATTCACTCAAATATATAAGTCAGTTTTTTTAGACAAAGAAGAAAGAAAATACATTTATAAGCGTAAACGTGGAATAGATAGATGGATGTTTTCATAAATCACGTTACTCCCCCGATCACCAAATACGTGCACAACATGAACTGCAAACGATCGTACGACGTCGTAGTTTATAGTATAACGTGCATCAATACTGTGAAGGTTCCACAAAGATGAAATAGGTGTAAGTGCATTCATGAAAAAAGCTATAGTTTTTTTATTCGCTGTTTGACGTCAGAATTCATGATGGATATTACTATTTCTTTCTATTTTAAGAACTAAAAAGAGGGGAATTCGAACAATTGTATTTAGATTTCTTTATGTGTATTATCGTGTATTTTAAAAATATAATATACTTTTTTTAATGAAAATACTCCAATAGATTTTTATTATTATTTATACATCGAACAACATAGCAAAATTTTTTCAACCCAACTGGACTCTAAGCAGCGACTGTTGTCTCATTGTCGCTACCGCCAAAGATTGAGTCAGCATATATTACGAATGTCTCTATATGCTTGTTACGGATCTTTGTATTGAGTTTTAACGGCTATTTTGCCGTAGTGCCACCTGTGAGAACTTACGAAAGTTTCTTCACTAAAGCAGGCACCTTTACAGGTACCAGGAAATTGTCAGAGATGTCGTATGTGTTTTTTATTTTATTTTTATTCCACAGATAAAATAAATTTACACGATGTGAATAGTAATCTTCAAATAAAGGACATTAATTTACCTGATATACTGTATTTATTTATCTAAAGCAGTTAAGAGTAGACTAAAAGTAACAAGCACTGAATCAGATAAAAATAAGCAAATCCGCGCGACTACACAAGTTATTGAAATATTCAGCCCGCGTTCAAGGATCCATCTTTATTTATATTGAACGCGCGAGTAAAGCGCCTAACAATCTGTGTCAATAGATGGAAATAGATACGAAGGAGTGTTACAGAAACTTGTAACATTTGTAAGAGTAATGTATTAACGTAGTAATCACAATAGAGCAATCTACAAAGGATAGAACTATCTAGTATAGGCAACTAAAAGCGCAGCCATTTTTATTTATATCCATTATTTCTAATCCGCTTTAATCTTAATAATCTTAATGCATTTCTGAAACATTTTTAAACCATCGATGATAAAGATCTTTAATGAAAATGGAATCCTCAATATTTTACAATTAAACTTGTATACAGCCATTGAACACCCTATTGTAAAAAGGAAATGTTAATAATATGTCAATGACTCTAGGGCATCTACTTCCCAAATAAATGATCAACATATTTCTTCGTTTCATTTGTCTACTTAAAACTTGAAAATGGAACATTTTTTTCGTATCTGAATGACGTATATTCGTTTTTCTAATATCCTTTTATTGTTAAAATATTTTGGAAATCGTATGTAGCGTGAACTTGTAGTTCTTTTGTTAATTATTAATATTTTTGTAACTATAGTTCAGAATTAGATGGTTTGCGTTCATATTACACATAACTCTTTGATGACTAATATTTCTCAGTCAGCCTTTGACCATGGGCCATGTAAAGTGTTTAAAACATTGGTTTGTTAGAAAAAAAAGTCGATTGAAAGCGTTGAAGCGGTGCCCTAACACCGTTCACGCAGCGCTTCTGCCGTCCGCTAAGTGACAAAATATTTTTTTGAGATATCATAAAAACCAGAATATTGATATTGTTTAATGAGGATGCTATGCATCGTTAGGGTAAGTTCCGATAAGACGCAGATGTTAACTAATTTTGACTGTTTTTAAAAGACAAATTTGTGCTCTGTGTTTTGCTATTTAAGACGGTTATTTGACCATTTGTAACTTAGCCGCGTTCTAGTTAGTGGACGACTGTTGTGCCCTTTGTGCCTTAATACCTGTCAAGATGGCAACATACTGTTCAAAGTCTATATATTCCTAAAATAAAAGAAGCATCAACATGATAAAAAGAAGTTTGAAAAAAGATACAAATTTACGCGATTTAGATCTGAAAAAATAATTTCATTTCAATCTAAGAAATCGATACAATACTTATGGATTTATTAGTGTTGAATAATAATAAGATCATATTATGACCGTGCCTCTCATGAAGTCATTGTATTTAATAGCTATGGATTTGACTTGATTGATCACCATGTTACGTGGTTTTTGTTTCTAGATTATCAATATAAATTTCTAATTGGTTATATCATAAAAACATGAAAAAACGTTATTTCCTCTTCTTTTCATTCTTCTTCTTTTCCTTTGCTTTTAAGATGAGAACAACGAAAAGTTTCTTCGAAGGATTTCTGTTCATTTAAAAACAAAAATAGATTATATTTCAAACCAATAGTATATTTCAACCAAAATTCTACAAAGTGATGACAAATAATCTACAAATGTGTACATTTACGAAATTATGCAAATACCACTATGTAGCTTTGTAAATAGGCAGCTACGTAGATACCACTATGACAGCCAGAAAAGCAAAGCTATAGGGGTATAGCTACATACTTCCAAACCAGAAACAGAACCTTTAATATATCAAATACCTTTTATAATGATACTTTCATATTGATTGATTACGTACCTAATCAGATTGAAATTTTGTAACAATTACATTTTTATTGAACGTCAGAATGCTTTACTACTATGATATTCAATTATTTTTTGTGAAATTACTCGATTAGCTTCGTTGGCATAGCGTCTGACACGGTTTACTAGGAGACGTCGATTCGAATCCGGCTGAATCGAAAGAATTTTTTCTTAGTGTACGATCTTTGTATCAATAACTATAACAAACTAGTGGAGTAATTTCACAAAAAAATAATTTAATATCGTGGTGGTGCAACAATCAATAAAAGTTTAATTACAGTTAATTATTTGTATATATATATAAATACAGTTAGTAGCAACATCTTTAGCCAGGGCTGGTAGCTGGAAGAGGTATCTAACGGCGTGACGAAATACATTCATAGATGGCGCTACGGCTAAAAAGTCTTTAAAAACCAAAAACAAAGATCCGACAATCCGCTGGTTTGTTCCGTGGCTTAGTTGGCATAGCACCTGACACGGATTGCTAGGAGACGTTGGTTCGAATCCGGCCGGATCGATGGAATTTTTGTCCTGTGTTCAATTTTTGTAACAATACACAGTGAACGTGGATTTCAACTAGGGCTTACTATTGGTGACTAGCATCAGCTTGATTAATGTCTTCCCCAATTAAATGTCACAACATTGTTGTACGTACCTACTCTGTGTCATGTCCATTTAACAGATCCCGTGATATATCCATGACTACACAAACATCGTTGGATCAAAGCACGCAACCTGATTTATAACTTCCATACAAAATTGTTTAATTCATAGCCATTCCAATGGCATTGAATCTTTAGCAAGTATCTACTTAGCTTCACAATGTGTACCCGATTTCACAAATAAATGTATGAAATTTATTATGATCTGCTTGAACTTTTTTGTTAACTGAATATCATAGGCACTTCCTGACACTTGTCGTCTAAAACCCACTGCTCTTTGAAAAAAAATACTTTATCGTTACTAAAGTTAAAGAAGTAGATTCACGCAAATGAATTCGCAATTAAAAATTTATTTATTATCTGTATAAATCACAACTTTAAAATCAGATTAGCTTTATCGCTTAAATCTCTAAATGCGTCGGTTAAGTCAGGTGTACTTCAAGGCTGAATTCTAGGTCCTAATTTGTAATTTAAATGCGTTTAGGATTCAGCATTGTCTCGGTTGCAACCAGGTCACTATTTGGGTGCCAGGTTATGCAATTTAACCATATCGAACAAAGTCTGTGATATGCTGAAAAAATAGATAAAAACAATATTTGTAAGTACCTATACGAATTAAAATAGTAAAGATACCGTTTTCTGTATCGCGTTTAGGTATTGCGTCACTATGGACATGGTTTATTTTATATTGTTTTTTTCATACAACGAGTATAACTTTGTGCACTTTCACGTACTACTTTTACTGTTATACAAATTTATATTGCAAGGAATGTAGAGATGATAATCATAATTTACGAGTAAGTTAAATATGCAGCATGAGTGATAATACTTTTTGTATAACGTGATAAAAATTCCAATGTGTGCTGAAATCGACGATGTGTACTATTTTCCTTAAAGGTAGTAAGGAAAAAAGTAGAAATCAACACAAATACTTATAATCAGCTTTCACTCTAAAAAATACACAATACGACACCAACACTGACAAGCAAAAACCCGAAGACATGAACAGAAGAAGTAGTAAAGAATGCAATAAGTTCGCGGCATTTGGACTTCTAAAGGTGACACAACGTGAATTTCAAGTAATAAGGATTTAAAAAGTGCTTTTATTCGCACTCAATACGTCTTGAAATCCCAACGCTAAAGTTCTGAACATATGTATACTACATTCAGTATTGCAGCGAACACAATACGCGTAGACTAAACACACAAATCTTCCAGTGTGAGCGGATGCGCCGCTTCGGATCCAGTCAATGTGTCATGTTTTGTATTTTAATTTATATATTATATTCATCGACAATGAAGTAAAGCGGCAATGTATCCATGACCTGATACAAAATCACAATATCTAAAAACACAGATACCATCTATTCTACGTTTCGGTTTGAATGGTAGAAAACATCCTTAATATCATAAATATCTATTAGCGAGGATAACAAATTTCCGGGAGGGAATCGTGTGACTGTTTCCATATCATAAAAACAATTAATTGGCATAGGACATTTGCTTCATTTGCACGACTTGCCTACTAGTTTTTTAAATACATGCTTCAAATCAATAAAAGAACAATTACACTTGTTTAGTAAAAGACACACAGTGAAGTAGCATAATTCTAAGCAAGGACAATTGGTCAAACGCTCCCTATAAATTCGAATGGAAAAATTGTTCAAAATACAGCTTTTATTGTTTTCTTTCCTCATTCTGGTACAAAATGGAAAATTGACATTTAACGAAAAGTGTAACTATTATACCGCCACTACAGCAGCTCATAATAGTTCTTGACCCCACACACATTAAAAAAGTTATAATGCCAGGCAACATCAACACGCGGTAGAAGAGTCATAATAGAACTGTATGTTTGACACCCCGATAACTGATGCGCCGGATGATTTTGTTTGGTATTTATTGTCTTTAATCTATACTTTTCAGATGTAGAAGGATATACCTACGCTTGACATACTGTTTCACGTACACAGTAATGTTGTACTTTAAAACACAGATAATTTGCTTCCTATACCATTATTTATTTTTAAGTTTTTTACTTTTTTTATTTATTTACTTTTTACATTCTACAACTTTTACGCAAATATTTATATTTGTATTCCAAAATACGTAAAAACAAGTCATTAAGGAGAGTTTTCTTCTCTTATGATAAAAAATCATATATTCGTATTGATAAATTAATCAGATTTGATTTTTTACATATTTCACACATACAGCAACTGTTTTAATAACAAAAACAACCCCATGGAAAACTAATTTTCAACAAATATTCCAAACTATCGTAAGCCAAACAACACTGGAGCGGGAAACTCGATTTGTGTCCCTACTCTGCACACAGAATGATATATCATAATACGATACCTTCTGTGTAAATAGTGGTATATTATGAAACAACAAAAATCACATCTAGAAAACTAGTATTTCAGACACAATATTCAAAACTATCGTAAGCCAAGCAACATTGAATGCGGGAAGCTCGATATGTGTCGTTGCTTTTGTGGTGAGCTGAAACGAAACGCTCAATGCTATCTCTTCAACCTGTTTGGTTGATATGTTTCTATTGGAAGGAACGATCTTGAAACGTTACACTTTAATGCCTTGTAATGTTACGATTTCAGAACTAGATGTATCTGTATATATACTAACCGGAATGTCGATACCCATGCCAAGGTCAGTCGTCTTTTTTATTTTTATTTTTTTGTTGAATATTTTTCCCGTAGACTTAACATGCTAATCTTTGACCTCAATTATCTCTGAGCACAAGTTGAAATTCTAAATGTAGACTTCGTCACCGAGTGTAGGATTGTATTACTTGCGAATCGGCCTTGTAATTTCATTAAAAAAACCGTTAAATTTTAATGAATTCTTTTGGATAATGTGATGAATAGACGAGAGAAATCTTTTAAAGACAATAGAGAACAGAAAGGAGAAAATGTTTGAACATTTGCTACGTAATGACAATTTTGAGTTAGTAATAATTGAGTAGAAGATGAAAGGAAATAGAAAGAGAGGAAAACCAAGAATAGCGTACAATGAACAAATAAAGAAGAACGCCAAAGTGACCAGCCATGGCGGCCATGACCCGTGAAGGGTGGAGGAGGCTACGCCAAGAGCCAGGCTTTTAAATAGGATGATGATGATAATGAAAACACAATAAACCGACATTGGAACTGGGTACCTAAGTGTCATGACCTTACAGTGACAGTTGTCTCCAGCAACCGTAAACAATTCTTCCCAATTTTAACCGACTTTAAAAAAGAGGAGGTTCTCAATTCGATGTTTTATGTATGTTACACGATAACTCTAAGATAAGCGTTTGCGAACAGATTTTGGTAATTCTTCTATTGTTGAAAAGAGGATACCTCAGTATTGGTTCCATTTAAATTTGAAGAAAATAAACCACCTCTAAGGGTAGCAAACTAGTTGATAAATCCGGTTTCGCACAGTTTTCGGTAACCGATTTCAATAAAACTTTGCGAATACATAGATGTAATTACACAAACATTTGAGGTCGGCTTTTTAGTATTCTGTACTGATTCATTGTGTGGTAAATTGTAGAGCTCTCCTAACGACTCATTTTGTATACAAACGTGTTATAACCCGAAGGTATAAACGAGGTTTCGGTAATACCTGTACATCGATCAAATATTTTTAAAGAAATGTAGATAAGCAACTATGAGCATTTCTAAATAAGTGCTAAGTGGATATTCTACGCAATATGCTCAGATCAGTCTAAATTTAATACCTGGTTCGGAACTCGGTTAATACAGTATTTGGTGTTTTTATTTACAATATAATTATAGCTATAAAACCAAAAATATACCGTAACAACGGCATACAAAATTTCACACTACATTTCATATAAACTTATGAACGTTTCAATATCGTACAACCGACATAAAAGCCGTCACCTGCCCAGTTTGACAATGTTCCTCTATTCATTATTATTGAGACGGTTAGCAAGTTGTAGGCAGATGGAAATTCTGAAGACATTGTACTGGTTTCTCAATAGAAACGTCTAGAACACAAGTAGGACGAGATACAATGGACCGCGTAAATACTTTTGTTATTAACTTGTTGAATAAGTGGTTTTGTTTCGCATTTAAGGTTACTTGTGTTATTAAGAAATTAATTAACAATTACCCTAACCTGTAAATTCAAAATGATATTGAGGCAATTTCATTGTAACATTGCGGTGGGTAGCGACATACTATTTTATATTTGGAGGCTATTTCTTGGTGCTCTTTTTATTATCGAGTACTAAAACTTATTATTCATGGAGGTGAATATGTTTAGTAGTGAACTATATAATTGTATGTTGATGTTTGTGTGTTACTTCAAACCAATTTTTTGTCACTAGACTCCCAGAAGTGGGAGAAAAGCCGGCTCCGAGCTCGTCCCCAGCCCTTGCGGAGCAGCCCTTGGACCTCAGCGCCAAGTCCACCTCCAGCACCAGTGGGACCCCACCGCCCGATGGCAAGACCTTAGACAATACCAGGTAAGGATCTTTAATTCTATTCAATATGCAAAATCAAAATCTTCAATTTTATTTTCCGGCATTGTATCAAATAAAGATCTCAAACATTTACGTTTATTTCTTTAGAGAAGTAGTGTTTACAGTGATGCTCCAGAAATAAAAACGTGTCACGCCTACTTCCCATTAGAGGTAGGTAAATAGCACTCAGGGACATTCAAAGTTCCACATTGTTAATTAAATTTTTATTGAATTGATATTCAATTATTTTTTGTGAAATTACTCCACTAGTTTGTTATAATTATTAATACAAAGATCGAACACTCAGAAAAAATTCCTTCGATCCGGTCGGATTCGAACCGACGTCTTCTTGCATACCGTGTCAGACGCTAAACCAACGGACCTCACGAATTTTTCTATGTGCTTGCGTCGTGTCTTTGTACTTGGTCTTTCAACGACTTTTTAGTCGTAGCGCCATCTATGAAAAATCTATTACAGAGATGTCGCTATTCACTGTATTAATTAAATTTCTCATAGATACGACTAAAAAGTCGTTGAATCCGACGAATCCGACCGGATCGAAGGAATTTTTTGAGTGTTTTTTCTGAGTGTTCGATCTTTGTATTAATAATTTCCACATTGTTATTAGGAAAATCTAGTAGAGTGCAACCTAAAACTCTGTTCTTGGAGGACTCCCAATTTTAGTAACTATGAATACTAGGGCTTTCAGGCTCGCTGCGTTTCTACGTCCCGGAAACAAATCGAAACTCAGTGTTTTAAAAAAAGCCGGAAAATTCGAGACTATTTTTAAAAGTAGATTTCCATACTTATAGCCTAGACAATTAGGCAAACAAAACATAATATTCTGTCGAGTTCTTAGGTTTTCGTGATTGTTACACATAGGAAATGAAACTATTTTTCCGGATTTAAATCGCGTATATTTGTTTTTTCAAACAAACCAACGTTTCGGGCCCTTTACAGGTCCCATGGTCACGGTTGATTTAAATCGCGTATAATTGAAAAAACAAATATACGCGATTTAAATCCGGAAAAATAGTTTCATTTCCTATATAATATTTTATTCAAGGTTTTTGTTAACTTTGAGTTATAATGTTTTTTATTTTAATTATTGATAGTTTTAATGTATTTTCAAATAAAGAGGACCTGGTTTTATTACTATCATTCTTCAATCCCTACAGATTATACTAAGCTCCACTCTACAGAGTTGCCATGTCCTAAGGACTGTTAGATTAGCAGATTTTTAATACTGTTTAAATAAGTGACTTAGGTCTTAAAAACCTCGTTATTCCCGAAACTGAAAACAATAGTCCTATGTATCAAAAATGCCAAACAATCGTTGAGTTTCTCGGGAATTTTCAAAACCAATATTTCCGGGATGAAAGCCGTAATAGCTTTACTAGATGCTCTATAGCATGTAATCTCTTTAGGTTGTATATATCAGTCCTTTTTCCATAGAAACTTTTTTGTAAGAATCACTCCAAATTTTACAGTTTCCACTTTCTACTAGAATACTATCTGGCACGATCTATCACAATGTTTAATTTGTGTAAATATAAACAATAAATATGTCATACGTTCATTTTATTTATTCAATAGATGTGTCTGCTTTTTATATTACCGAATTAGGTTTTTAGTTCTGCTCAAATACATTTTTATTGAAATTAATTACATTATGAAAACACAGGTTACGTACACGCTAACATGTACAAAAAATAAATAAATATAGTTTCACTGTGTCCGGGAAAATACATAATAGGTGTACAAGCGATATTCGTATTTTCTCGGATTGGAATCGGCCTTAGTGCACAAGCGACATCCGAAGTGGGTCCGAATACGAATCGGATGCAGGGCGTAAACGCGCTTAGAAGTGGAATATTTTCTTGAAATTTGAATGGGACCACTATTGAGGTACCCCCTTTCCAACAAAAAAAGAATTATCGAAATCGATTGGCAAAATGTGTAATCGTGTGATTTTTATATACACACAAAAAAAGTCGTACTGAGAACCTCCTTCTTTTTTTGAAGTCAGTTGAAAATACTATAGCACCTACAACATTTAGACCACACAATTATAAAGTATGGTTTCATAATTCATCTGACATTCTATACTTTCCTATCAGCCGGTTCGTTGACCCTACAAGCTAAGATCAAAGTTTCGTTTGCAGCTTTTAATGGGTACATTCAACGTGCCATTGTTTTCGTAATACGACACTCATAATTCAATAGGAAGTGGCAATGTGCTAGCTTATAGCCTTTATATAGCCTTTATACAGGCTGTCTACTTTATAACGTGAAAAGTAAAACAGTTTTGTCCATCAAAATTATCAACAATTTGCTTCCATTTGATATTGTTTCTTAAGATCTGTTCCGCAGCTCAGACACGGTGTGCTGAAGGCGCTGGTTCGCATCCAGCCGGATCGAAGGAATTTTTCATTGTGTTCGATCTTTGTATTAATAATTATAACAATGCATGTCTATGTCTAATGTACTTACTTACATTACACTAAATGATCGTCAGCCACCCTGGCCCAATACGTATAGGGGACTTCACGCGTTTTTCGAGATTCAAACCTACGGCATCTGTTTGGGAGGCGGTAGGTGAAACCATTAGTCTAGCATGGCTTGTTTTACAGCTTTTTTTTTTAATTTATAGTACCAAAATACCACAAATACAAAACAATATTTTCTCTGGAAGTTTCTATATTTCGCTAGAAAACAATCAAATTTTTTAATATCGTTTTAGTACTTGAATTCTAGATTCGAATATGAGAATTTCTAAAGTCTAATTGACTCGTTTTGAAGCCTCCTGTACAAAGTACCATATGACCCTTATGTGCCTAGTATAAGCCCTTTGGTGTCGGTAACCATGGAAAATTGTAAATGGTTTTTCCATTTGGAATATTTGTTTGAATTTCTGTGGAAATCGTAAGGAAATGTTATGATTATGTTATTTCATTTCTACATTATGTTGATATTGTTTACTGCAAATAACAGTTTCTTATAGTCCACTATTGAATACAGGTTTCTCAAAGACGGAAAATTTTCCTCGCTACTTTTGACATATTAATGGTAGAAATAGGAGTTAAGATCTTACTTCATCATACTCATGAGCATATATAAGTTCCACTACTGGACACAGTTGTCATTTAAAAGGAGGGTTTATGCCGTAATCAACTATGTAAGCTGAAAAATATTTATTTACTTTTCAATAAACATATCACTCAAATTATAAAACCTAGTCACAATAGCCCCAAGTCGTTTATTAACACGCGATACTGTCGACCTTAATAGATCGTTTGGAGTTATTAGGTCTGTCTAAACTGACAGGTTTTATAAGGTTTTCATAGATCTCTCACAAATGGTGCTACGGCAAAAAAGTCATTAAAAAACAAGAAATAAAGATCTGTAACATGCGAAGAGAAAAATTCGTATGGTTTGATGGTTCGTTCCGTAGCTCAAATTCTTAGTTCTTAGTGTAGAATCGATGTATTAATAATTTATAAGGCTTTTAAAAATATTTCCGGTAGCATACTTGACCCAGCGTCTCGAAACCTTTCCCTATGAGACGCCTTGGAGTAGTATGTAATTAATGCATAGGTACTTCTAGGTGCAATTCTTCCAATAATCTTCTCAGCGAATTGATAGCTCTGTGTGATCTTTAAATTGTGTCCAATGGTCAACCACGCATATGGCACCACTGTCAGTGGCGACAAAAACCTTACTAAGGTAGTGAAATTGCTGTAATTTAACTGTAAAAAAACCCAGTAAGTAAATGGATAAAACATTAACACAGTGGCCTTAATTCAAGCAATTAGTCCCGTATCTATAATCTCTTCGTATAATTTTACCAAGTGCCGCAATTATGGTGAAAATAATTCACGGTGGACTTTTTTTTAGCTAGCCAACTAGTTTACTGACGGTATAAAAGAGTCGTTACGTATTGGTTTTTAAAATTAATAACCTTTAATTATTTAAAGCAATCGATCCACTTGAAGTCCTAATTAATATTATAAATGCGAAAGTAACTTTGTCTATTACGTTTTCACGCCTAAACCACTGAACCAAATTTCATTAATTTAGAAATAGAGATAGATGGGATCTAGGACATCGGTTTCCAACTCTTTGGCTCACCGCCCACTAAGGCGAGATAAAAAAGTTTCAATGCCGACCACCACAAAAAATAATTGAAAACACGTATTTTTTAATATTAACTTATCACAAAAATTCAGTAGGGAAAAAAATAACGCGTAACATAATGCGAACACACTCATAGCCCCGCACTAGGGAAACCCTGTGTTGCGGGTGCCATGGACATACACATAGACAACCACAAATTACACCCAAACTCATGAGAGAACTAAATGTAGGCCATACAAATATTTCTCCCGGCCCTGCAATCGAACCCAGGACCTCTGCGTAACAGTCCAACATGGGAAACTATGATCTAGAAGAAAGATATAGGCTACTTTTTGTCTCAAAAATAAATCTTAAAGGGGGTGAAATAGGGGATGAAAGTTTGTATGGAGAACCAATCATTTCTCAAGTAAATAGTACAGTATGCTCAGAGTACTTATTGTACGTAGACGTAGACGTTGTACGTGAACGCGTGGTTAATGACGTCATTTTTTTTAATATTAAAGTGCAATCACACGAAGTAATGTTATAAGAATTCACTGTACTTATAGGTCCCAGATTAACGATTAACTCCGGGCGCGCACTCAAAATATAGTACATAATGTTTATGTTTTACTACTCTTATGTGAAGTAGGATAAATTGATTGCAATTCGCACCCTTGGTGTAATAAGGTCACATCTGCAAAATGACAACTTTTCAGGGGAAAGGTTTATTAAAGATTCTACGTAACGTAATTAGTCGATTGCTTTTTCATGCTTAAATATGAGAGTTATAAAATTTCACATATACGTAATTTGTTTCATGTAGTTCGTATTATTTTCAAGACAATCAAGTGTTAAAAACACTTTTGACATACGATCAAAGATGG